CAAACTCTATTAAAGGGTTAGGCCACCCTGATGGATTAAAGAAAACGTAATTTTTTTTTTTTTTGGCTTAATCGATAGTTTATAGCAATCCTAAAAATAATATCCAATTGGTCTTGGTGAGAAATTCCCAGGAATAAGGGGCCTCAGCTCATCACGTATAAAAAAAAAATGTTATCTACTGAGTAATAGGCTTTCATATTAATTATATATGGTTACATTAATCTTTTGGAGTCTAATTTCGTTTTTTGTAATGTAATTATCAAAGAGTCAACAATTACCTAAGAGATGCAAAGAACCGTTGGTGTCAAGGCTTGGCAAAACTGTGCCTGACATTGCTACGGATATTGCAGTTTGTAATTTTAACGATAGATTATTAAGTATCATGCAAATTATGCAAGTTTTAGGCATGATCATAGGCGTTCAATGCTATAATTTTTGTCTCGAAGCGAACGCTCTCCGCGTAAGGCCGCTGATCGATTGATGACCGATGCCGCTAAAAAGGCGAGAAAAGCGTCGAGATCGGTCAGAAAAAAGGCAGAGGAGGCTGAATTGTATGGCATAGGCATCGCAGAGTGAAGGTAGATGTAACTTTTTTTCATTTCATTTACGTAAAATCATAAAATAAAACTTTCAAAACGTTTTTCTCAAGATAGTGTTTTTGAAGTCGGTGTGTCGATAACTTCTTCAATTTTTCACCGATTCACTTGAAATTTTCAGAATCTAGTTTATTATGTGATCTAGGGAAGTACGTAGGATTCTTTCGATATCTTAAAAACTTTTTCTTTTACAGACGTTTTTGTACAAATTTTTTTTGGCTAAAATCGATTTTCTCACTTCAAATCCTACGTACTTCCTCAGAAAATGTCATCTAGAAAATAAAAAACTTCAGTTTTTTGTTTTAACTTAAATCAAACAACCCTAATCGACGCCACCGTAAAAAGAGACGGCCTGAATGATTACAGAAGTGGCTCCAGCACCGCCATTTTGTATAAAAAAAAAATATTTTTATATATTTGTATGTATATATATTACAGGCTTTCTAACTGATTTCCCGTATATTTCTTTATAATCACAAAAAAAATTGTCAAAGATACCTATGATTCTCGAACGGTCAGCGTGGCCTAACCCCTTAAGGGGGTATTCTAGTCTAGACCTTTAAAGAAATATCGATTTTTTCTTCTTTGCATTTTTCGAAGGTACGACTCTTCAAGAATGTACTGTTAAATTTTTGCAACAAAATTCGAAGTTTTCGGCTTTCGCAGCATTTTGTAATGAGCGGCACTACCCTTCGCCGCTTCGGCAATAGGTACATAGCTCTATCTGTTTCTATTGTACTATCCCTTTCTGACCTGAAGTAATGTAGTGGTATAACCCTTTTTAATGTAACTGTGTAGTGCAATGAGTGCAGTGATGTATCACAAATGAATAAATATGTGCTGGCACTGGCCACTTAATCGCAAGAACATATATCACACGAAAAACATTAAACGCTCTTTTCTTGAAACGTTCTTTTTTCAACTGGCGGAAGTAAAATGAAGAAAACCAACTAGCCGATCAGTCTGAAATTTTAACACGTCCGTACCATTGGTTCTCGCAGATACCAGATTTACATTTCTATATTGGAAATTTCATATTTTGTTGCGTCTAAAAATGAAAAAAAAATGGAAACTTTCGTTACTTAAACTTTTAATGCTCGCGATTTTATGAAATTTTGCCTTACATAGTTCATACTGGTACCTGCAATAATAGCGGTGCTCATACCGATTAAGAATCTTTTTGATTTTTTTGTTTTGGATAAGTCTGTGAGCTGAAATCAATTCCGCCAGCGAGGCATCTATTTTCAAAGGCGCTATCTTCATTTATAGAAATAGCATTAGACGAACAAGTAAAAAGCTATTTAAAAAATTGTTTTGCATGCTTTATAAGTATCTTAACAAGTGAAAAAATGTTTGAAGTTGTTATTCATTGTACATATCGAACAAAAATCCTGAATATTGCCGAAATTTTCGGCGTGATTACTAGAATACCCCGTAACATAGGGGAGACCGAGGCTGATAGGCCAATTTTTCAATTTTCGATTGAATCGTATGGGAGAAATATCGTTATAACAGTTATTATATTTGGTAAGACATACACTGCCGGCGGAAAGTTTCCGACCACCTTCTTTTTTTTCGAATACTACAATTTAACGCAGCTGAAAGTCACAAAGCAGTCACTTATTCTATGTTCAACTGTTTTTATGATCATTCCCTTTGTTTCTATACCTGTTATACCGTCTTAAAATTCCATAATCTTGAATTAGAATTATTTTATGGAAGTAATATTTTTGAGGTATATAAGCGAGGATAAAGTAGTAAGCTCTATCGACTGCTGGTATTTAAATTTCGGTACCTTCTAGAATAAGTAATTAAGGGTAGTTATTACCTGAGCAGTATAGACCACATTTTGTTGGAAAAATTAGTATAAATACCGAGTAATCAGCGACAAAGCTCAGTACAGCAGAGAAACTTGTCAGAGATCTGTTTCTGCGAATAAAACGTGAAAAATGGGTACATCTAGAGAACTGAATATTGCAATACGAAGTGCTATATGCACTTTGCATTCCGAAGGAAAATCAGAGCGAATCATAGCTAATTGAGATTACCAAAAACAACAGTACGCGATACCATTGCACGGTGCCAAAATACGGGGTCGTATGAATCCAAGAAACGATCTGGGAGACCAAAGGTTACCACGAAAGCAGAAGATAAACATATTGTACTCTTTAGTAAGAGAAATCGAAAGAAGACAGGCCCAGAAATTTGTGCAGAATTAAATAGCACACGGACTAACGCAATGTCATTGACTACTGTGAAAACGCGTTTGAGAAATGCTGGCTTATTTGAGCGAATTGCAGTAAGAAAACCATTACTTCGGCCAATTAATAAAAAGAAACGACATCAGTGGGCCTCTACTCATAAATCATGGACATCAGAAGAGTGGAGTAAGGTACTTTGGACCGACGAATCAAAATTTGAGGTATTTGGTTCAAGACGACGAGTTTATGTTCGTCGGACTTTTGAAGAATCACCGTTGCCATCATGTGTACAACCAACAATAAAGCATGGTGGTGGTTCAATTCAAGTTTGGGGGTGTTTCTCAAGTGAAGGAATAGGTGACCTTGTTCTTATAGACGGCATACTGAAAAAGGAACGTTATAAAGAAATATTAGAACGTCACGCGATTCCGTCTGGACTACTCCTAATTGGGCGAGGATTTGTGCTACAGCAGGATAACGATCCCAAGCACACGTCCAAACTTTGTAAAGGATATCTTCAAGAAAAAGAAGAGGAAGGAGTATTAAAAAACATGAAATGGCCAGCTCAATCACCAAACTTAAACTCTATTGAGTTACTTTAGGATCATCTGGACAGAAAGGTTAGACAACACTGTCCAAAATCCAAAACAGATCTCTGGGAAGTTTTACAAAACGCTTGGAAAGATATTCCTCAAATAACAATAAATAAATTAGTCGATAGTATCCCGAGATTAGTTGAAACATTGAAAAGAAAGAAGGGCTCGTTTTCTGACGAAAAAGCTGTCTAACATAGTTTTTGTATTATTGTTATCAATAAAGACATTATAATAATAATTTCTGTAATTCCTTGTATTGCACTACATTGACCCATAATTAGATGCCAAAGAGCCTGCAACATTGTAGCCTCATTTCCATTAATTCATGAATCGTTCACAAATATTGAAGTGGTCGGAAACTTTTCGCCGGCAGTGTATATATCTGACTACCTGATAAAATGATTAAAGTTGATTTAATGTGATAACAATCAAGGTATTGTAACGTTTTTCTAACACCTTGCAGGCTGGTCAACCACCCCCATGGTCGGAGTTGGTAAACTTACAGTACGGGGTAGGTTGACTATAGGTACAATCAGTTAAGAAAATGTTATTAGCAACTTATCTTAGTGGTAATAAAGTAACACAATGTCGATAAAGTTGGTTTTGTTAAGTAATGATTAGATTATACATTTACATATTGGCAGCATTGCCACTCATTCAAGTGTGGTAACAGTTTTATTATGAAATATTAATTATCTTTCTCTCATATTTCAATAATAAACTAAAAATTTGTTCTCAAAAGGTTAAACATAAATTATAATGTATTTATAAGTTAATCAATTTTAAAGAAAACATAAAAATCGCTTTTCTGACAGCAAAATGACAATTTAAACCTTTATAGTAGCAACAAAAACTTAGAGAATTATAGAAACATAAACAACCTATAGTTCTTATGTTACTTAACATTATAGATAAGTTATTAACTAACTTTCAGTAACGAAAAGTTAGTCCAAACTGATATCACCAGATTGGTTGACCAGCCATGACCAGTCATGTAACTCCGGACGCTATTAGTCAACCAGCCTCGAACGATCATTTTGACTTCAATACTCTACATAACCCGAAATTATTTATGTATAAAGAAAGATTGTTTCAACAGGTCGTCTGATAAACAAACTTTAAAATATTCCTTCAACATTTATTCTATTGTAACTATATAGAGCGTGAAAAGATAAAATCTTGAAGAAAAAATATTTACTTAGGTAGCCAATTTTTCGATAAACTTTGAAAACACTCAAACAACGTACGATCACCGCATCGGAAACAAATAAATGGCAGAGTAGAAGTGACTTGTTTCTACAATAAGTCTTTCCGCGGTATAGCAAACAGTTAACCTTATAAGCAACCAGCCCCGGTCTCCCCTACTTTTTGCGGCAAATGTGGTACCACTTAAAAGATATCTTATCTAATAGTTATATTTATGTTTATCTATAAGAAATTTCACACAAACAAAATCTCACTTTTCCGATATTCTACGTTCTATTTAGTGACTTCATACAAGCGAAGCATTCAAACCCAACGCGTTCTACGTTAAATAAAAAGTCTTACAAGTTCCAATAATTTCTAGCTATCTTCTTAACTGGCCATTATTGGTAAGCTTATTTTAATCAAAAAAATTTTCTCACCATTTTTCTAAAACCACTACTTTTTTTCTCCTTCTTTTTCGACATTGATGTTACACTACTGCTTCTAGATTCATCACTTTGGTCCATTAACAGACCATTGGTGGTTGTATCACTATCGGTGTGAATATTTTGCGGAGATAATTTTGAAGGATTAGGACTTACTTGTGCAGTCTTGTCATCAGAATCAGTTGAATTCTGACTCCATTCTCCATTCACATCACATGAATAAGCTTTTCTCGCTTTTCTTGTACTCAAAGCAGTTTTCATGAAGGAAGATGGTACACTCGTATCCTTTAGTATACCGCTAGTATTTTTAAAATTTGAAGCATCTGTTGACGATTCAATGGCAACTGGTTCCACACTACAAGCGTCTTTTTCGGGAAATAAATTTTCCGATAGTGTATTCGATCCATTTGCATTTTCAACACATGAAATATTAAACTCAGAACTTTTTACAGGCTCCATTTCTAAATTATCAGCGTGTGATGTTGCTAATTGTACGTCGCATTTAGTTTCGTGACCACTATCGTTGAACACATCATGTGCACTTTCTTCTGGGGCAGATTTTAGCCTTCTATAAATCTGCTTTCGAGAATCAACTACTTTTAATACTTCGGCAGACGAAGCAATTTTCGGTGTTGTTTCCACTTCATGTGCAACATTTAATACAGTTTTGGATTGCATAATTGAATTTCTCTCAATGTCATTATTTACATTTGTTTGATTGCCACCTAAAGCAAATGCCTTTTTACGTTTCTTCTTCTTTTCCTTTTTAGTTTCGTCAGATCTATCATGAATCATCAATTCATGATATGTGCCCGTAATGTGAGAAGCGATTTCGCTTGGTCGTCGTTTTTTCGTTTTTTTCACATTGGAACCGAAGCTTTCTGCACTTTTACGAAGCACCGTATTTTTTTCTGATTGTTGTTTTTTCTTTATATCAAGCTTCTTGTTCTTATTCCCTCGACAATACAGCAAAATTAAGTATATTATAAAAACTTCAGAACAAATTAACAGCAAGTGTTGAGTTATCATGGTGATTCTTCCTCGCCAACTGTCACGATCGTAAACAAAATTTTTCACCGAGTCCGCAAGACTAGCGATTTCTTCTTTCAAAATTGCTATTTCTTCTGTGCTTTTTGCTTCACGTTCGTCTCTTTTTCGTGTTTCTTCATTCATTGCTGAAACTGTACGTTCAAGGAACTTCTGCATCTCTTCAACTTGCTTTTTATACCGACGACTTAATTCTTCCAAGTACTGTCCACTCAATGACATATTCCGTTCTAATGCCTAACAAAAATAATAACAATTATATAATATTGCAAACCTTAATATTACAAATATTCTATACATTACTAGAAACCGGAGATATAGTATCCGGACTACAAAATTTCTTATCTGAATGTGTCTTTTTGGGGGTATTTTAGATCGCTGAAGCCAAAAATGAGAGTCATTTTCCACGGAAATAAATGGTTTCAAAAATTCGGCCTTACCGACGTTTGGCCGTCGTACTTCGACGAAGTACGTAACACCAAAAAGTCTACAACCCAACTTGGATGTGTTAACCAAATCATTAAAAATACAAAAATTAATTGAAAACTTCTTACTAGCTTTAGTTTCATGTGGTGACAAGTGCTAGCCGGGGATTTATCTGACCCACACCAATGGCCATACTCCTCTTTAAAAAGAGCTGGTTATTTTTTTCGCTCATTGCGCGTTTTTTAGACTTAATATACACTACCGGCCAAAAGTTTGGAATCACCTCCCACTTTTCATCAATATTAAATCTGCTGCTAATTTTTGATAGATTTGAAGTTTATCTCAATTCTACCTTTACCAATTTATCTCATATCAATTGATTCGAATGATAAAAAATTCTCAAAGTCACTGACCTTTTTCTGGAAATTTTTGTGTAAATTGCAATGCTCAGTGATTCCAAACTTTTGGCCGGTAGTGTATATGGAGGAAGGGAATTGTAGGGTTATGTTGGCGCAATATGGAGTGAAGCAGAGGGGAAGTGTCTCCATGGAGGAGATTGGAAGGTTTATGGGTGTTTCTGAATTGTGGGATGAGCTAGATAGAAAATATTCGGAAACACTGTCCAACGTGACGAAAAGATCTGTGAACACATTTGCAGCGGTCCTGGAGAGAAATTTAGAAAGAAACTTTTAACCCTTTGAGTGCTATGGATGCATATATGCGTCCGGCGAAAGCTATCAGTGTGGACTATGGGCGCATATATGCAATTCGCGCATACATACACTACCGGCCAAAAGTTTGGAATCACCTCCCACTTTTCATCGATATTAAATCTGCTGCTAATTTTTTATAGATTTGAAGTTTATCTCAATTCTACATTTATCAATTTATCTCATATCAATTGATTCGAACTGTGATGCCCGGTTTGCTCCAATTCCTCGAAACTAGGAGCAGATATTGGGGTATCGCTGAGTTAAAACACTCAGGGATCGTCGTTGCGTGAAACAGAACTTTATTTAACAGAGATTTCTGATGATACGTGACGTGCGCGTGGTAGAACGGAGAATGAACGCGGAAATGGAGAAAATAGGGCTATTTAAGTGTTAGGTTTTCTGTAGAAACGGTTTATGGCACGATCAACCGGGAACGGTTATTTTTGAGTTCAGGATTTTCGTTTATTGCTTGCACGGGTCTAATTACATCCTACGAGGGTCGCTAGAATTGCTTTGCTAGATTTTTAGTAATTTGTGTCCCTCGCGCTCAATAGCCTACGAACATACTATAAACCACGAATTTCCGAACGGCACATCTGTATGTAACGGTCCGCTTGCCGATTAGTCACCCGGAGGAAATTCCAGATTTTTGGGACCTTCCGCCCACCCCTCGCGACCGTCTCCCACCCTTCCAAGGTAACAGCGCGCTAAGGGCGCACTGAAAGGGCGGCAAAGACGATATTAGACACGCTGATTGGCAAATGCAATCGTTAACCATTAACCAATCAGCGTGTCCCAACAAAAATCCCTCTCACGGACGTCCGAGAAGCGACGTTGACGAGAAGTCGTGTAGCAGTCGTTCAACCACCACGAACACGGAGAAGCAAGGTGGAACCAGCTCACATCACGCGTTAGACATAGATCAGTTTTTTACAAGTCCCAATCATTTGGGTGGTCCTTCGAACCAGTATCTAGACGGCACAACATCGTGCAAACATCCACAAAGCTCGAAAGTTTATCGCCACAACCACGAGCATTAACATTAAGGGTTCTGGGATGATGGACTTTGGGTTGCGACTATGCAGGAGAATTGAGAGGAGAGTTGGAAGGTGAAGAGTCCAGTATGAGTAATGGTGAAAGTGGGTGACTAGTTGTGAATACAGATGAAACTAAAGACTAAGAATGAAAATATTTGAGGGTGTAACAGAACGATAAAAAATTCTCAAAGTCGCTGACTTTTTTCTGGAAATTTTTCTGTAAATTGCAATGCTCGGTGATTCCAAACTTTTGACCGGTAATGTATGTCTTTATATGAGATGAACATGTTCCGCGGACCACTCGTTCTTTCATTATTTAATTTGGTGTAAAAGAATTACAATAATAATTTATTCTATACTCAATCAACAGAGTTCACACTGTGTAGCAAAAAAGTATTCCGTCCGCAGCAATCGCACCCGCTAGGCGCGCGCCGTCCACATGGAGAGCTTCGGCAGGGAATATTCAGCACTCAAAGGGTTAAAAGAATTCATCACATGACTGTCAAAATTAATTCGAGCCGTAATGACGCGTCATCGAGAAACGAGGAGCGTACATTGACGAGAAAATTGAAAACTTTGTATGTACAATTTTCAATATAATTTAACATTGAAAATCTATATTCGGTACAAGTAATTTGTAAATGATTATTTGATTTAATAACACGAGTGTTTAACAGTGTTAATTTAAACGTAAAGCTCAAATTAGTAGGTGTCCCATGACTTATGGATAGGGGTACATTGTTATACTAATTGCTGAACACTGCGTCTACTAGCAGTGAAGACCTACTATACAGGGTATCGTGTAACTGGTGGTACAAGCGAGAAGGTGGTGATTCTGCATGAAAAACTGAATCGAAAATGTAGAATAAAATTACTACATAAGAGGTTCAGTTTTCGAGAAAACGAAAATTAAAATATTCATCGAATGTGCGTGCATTTAACTATCTCTCGGCTTTACGTTTGTACTAATAAACGATGTCATGATAAGTATTGATAATACATTTATTAACGATTTCCTTAATTTACATATATATTACTGAACGAATTGTTGAAAGTAACATACGCGTAAAAATTCGTGATCTTTGAATAGGAGTGTGTTTTGACGCTTTAATTGTGTGAAAGCCTGTACGATTTTTTCTTTTAGCTGCAGATTTACACTATCTTCTGCGTAGACTATTTCTTTGCGAAATGTGACATTACCACTGTTGTTTAATGCAAAAGTATGAGCAAAAGCAACAGTTTGTAGCTTATCTTTAAATTCGAATTTCTCGAAAACAAAGCCTCGTATGAGAAAATTTTATTCTATATTTTTAATTTAGTTTTTCACGTAGAATCATTTTGTTCGCTTGTACCACCACACACATGACACCCTGTACAGGAAACATTCGATAATGCTCCAATTGGGACCCAAAGTTGGCAATTATCGCGAAGTAGAAACGATTCTATTCTAAAAAAACCGAAGGTCTTGGGCGTGCCGAACGTAGAAAAGGAGAACGCGAGTGAAAGAGAAAGAGGGGCTGAGAGGCTTAACTCAAAAATCAAACTTTCTTATTTTAGATTTGTGACGAATGAAATTTTTACCAACATATTTGTCACATTTTTCTGATTAAAATGATACCAAACACGATATAATATGGAGCATATTTGTTTACTTAATAAATGATAATAAGTAATAAGTAAATAAGTAAATATAATCCAAATTATATCGCGTTTGATCTCATTTTAATCAGAAAAACTTAATTATCTGTGCGTTGCATGCGGTGATCTAACATCAGACGCACCTCTACTAATATACTAGATAACAATGCACTTGTTTTTCTAGGAGTGACTTTCAAGTGTTGCGTTCGCATCAGACGCATCAGAAGCAGTCTAAATGCAAACGCAAGAAAGAAGCTTTTACCTTGGAATATCGTAATTAATCTAAAAAAATAGAAGTGTCCGAGTTTCAGGCAGAAAAGTCCGAGGTTTTAATGCTCTCTATTCCAGATTAGTGACTTTATAAATGGCAACCCTAGTTTTCGGCAATTATCGAAGGTTTCCTGTATATGTATATGGACTTATATCTTCCAAACGTCTTATTTCCGTGAAAAACGGCCCTCATTTTCGACTTCAACAACCTTAAAAACCCCTAAAAAATATCATTCCAGCCGGATATTTTGCAGTCCGAATACTATACCTCAGCCTAAACTGTACCAACAAGGGAGAGTTCCCAAGTGTAAATAAGTGTAACAAATATTTGACACGTATTTTTTTTTTTCCGAGCGCAAATCCATGTTGAAGGGTGAAAACAGCCCTCTAAGTTGGGGATACAGAACATATTTTATAGAATATTAAGGAATTATACATATTAGATTCAGAAAAATGGTTTAAATACAGAAATCGCTTAAACAAGAAATTCAGCTATGAAAACATCTTCTAAGGAGTAAAGCAAGCCTGAATCGCTGGTGACGGCTATTACTGACATAAATAAACGAAGTTTATTTCTACTTACCATGTTTAATTAAAGAAAAGTTTTCACGATTCAAATTGACGTTTGTAACATTTGGTAATTTGACAAGCATAAACGCAGATAAGAAGTTCGATCTTTGTTTACAGGCTTACTTCACTCCTTAGGAACTCACGAGTTTATAACATAATTTACATTTTACAACAATAAATGACCTCATATGGCAGATCGTTGAGTTCGTCTCAACAAACGCCACCGTACTGTAAAAAAAAAGTAGTATATGGTTTTATTTAAAACAAATGAATTTGAGTAAAATTTCGCCGCCACCACTCGACCTGCAAAAAAATAATTTGCACCATATGATGTCCCCTTTCATACCAAACAACTTTCGTAAAAATATTTGTTTGATAGGTTCACTTCCTCACGAGATACTCCAACATTGCGTATAAAGAAGGCACCATAATACCATAAAACACGGATAAATTGGAATTTTTATTTTTTTATGCATGGTCATAAAACTGATAAGAAATTATGATGTTTTAGGTTATGTTTCATGAGTTTTACATATAGCAATTTCATATGTTGTACCTATCTGCCAGCGATATGAAAATCGCCAATTACATTTGATCTATTCACAATTATAAGACTTGAGGTGGGTGAGGAACGTCGTTACACTCTTTTCACCTCAATTTATTAAAGTATAAGTGTATGGTCGGCGTACAATTGGTCCAGAAAATACAATCGTATACTTTGTTAATTGTCCCGGCGGCAGCGGTTCGTCGCGATGGTCGGTAAAGGAAAAACTGTCTCGAGGTGTAGGCGTACTGGGTTTTTATATTGTTAGGACAGGGAGACAGGAGTAGCGATAGATAAAGATAGAAGTGGAGAAAGTGGTGGAAACGGAAAATTCGTTCGTCCTCGCGCGAACCTGGATGCCAACGCCACAGACTGTTTAAAAGAACTGTTCCAACGTTTGAAAGTTTTTCCTGCTTGTAAAAAGATAGTAGTTAAAAGATAATATTTTCATTTATTACTTCCTTAATTCATTTACAACAAGAACATTTTTTTCCCGTGACATCAAGTTAAATTCAATATTAGCAAAGACTTCAACAAACGAAGTAAAATATCTCGTTAACTATTAGATTTAGGACCAATAATTGTTAATATTTTTTTATGCAGAAATTAACATTTTTTCGAAGTTCATTAGACGTTTTATTTAAAAAAACGAAGTTGACCTTGAAATTTCTGAACCATATCCTCCACCTACAAAGAAAATATGTAGGGTAACTGTACTTAATATCGAACAGCACTTAATATAGAACACCACCATATCTCGGCCAATAAGTAACAAAATTAATTGGCAACAGTGCAAGATATTTCATTAAAAACAAAAGACAATTATATTCACATTTAAGCTTCAGTTGCAAGTCTGTCGTTGAATGCGAAGTTGATTGTTGTTTGAAAGCGTATAAAAGTTTTTTAGAAGGGAGTTAAATAGAGAAATTTTTTAGTAAAGATAAGATAAAAAATATTACTTTTGCATGATTTATCATTAAACATGTTTGTTTTTGAGTCTTCAAAAGGAAGGGTCTAGCACAGAGCCGCTTAACTTCTTGCTCACGAGCAAATTTCTCCTCCCGAGGTTCCCCCACTATGCGGTACGACACGCAAAATGGGTAACATAAACCAACGGCAGTCGCTGGAGTTGTGGTGGGAGGACTCCTCGCGTCCTCCAGCTGCGCCGTAACTCGAGCGAGACCATCTCAGTCGCATAGTGGGTTCGCGAACGGTCCGGCTTCGATTTTGATGACACTTTGTACACTTATAAAGCAGCCAAAAATAATCGACACATATTTTTTTTTAGCTGCGGTAACTTGAGTTTAAGGGGTGAACCACCCCTTGAAGTTTTGGCTCGAAACGGCTATCTCGAAAACAGAAAGACATACGAAAAAATTGTTAATGGGCGAGGTTAATGGTTTCTGATGTACAATAACATGATGTTAAAAAATTTAACAAAATACAGTTTATTTATAACAAAAAGCCCATCGCCATAGATCTATTTCATGCACAATTACTCTTAACTGCCGAGCTTCCATAAATTTATTAAATGTATACTCTCCAATACGTTTTACCTTTTCCTTTTTTGTGCCACCCTGTTCAACTTGTAAAGCCCACTTACGAAGCATTCTTTCGGATTTCACGTGACGGAATTTGGAACGCACGGTGTCTAATTTTAATCGCTTCGACTTACCGCTGTTCCAGTACGCCACAGCTTTCCTTTTATATTCGAATGACGTACAACGTTTTCTTCGTATATGTTTGGAACATTCGGTGTCCTATTTTCCTCCTCTTCATCTATCCAGTTCAAATCAGCATCCTGAATTTCTTGTTCGATAGGCGTCCCGTCCATTTCAACACACGTTTCATGTTCAACCAGGAATGCTGTGTCTTCGACACTTCTTACAATTAAATCGAATAATACATCCCTTAAATATTCTTCTGCGATATTAATTGCTGTGGGTCCCTGATTCCACTCAACAAACGCAGCAGACAGTAAAGTTATTACATTAATAGCATTAATATTTACCATCTTTCTGAATACTCGCGTTTTATGATCGTTAACAACTGAACTGTATGGATGACCAACAATGTTCTACACGCTTATAAAAAGCTAATTGCAATATATATATATACCTTATCAAACGTTATCATACGTTATCACGTTATCAAAATGTGCAAACTCCAGTACAATATACCCGTTTTATCATGTTTATTACAAAAATCGTCACGGTTTTAAAGAATGTTAATAACAACAGAGATAAAGATGCACATATTAATCTCTTTTGACAAGTATTTTTATTGTGCAGATTACACAGAATGCTTTCAGTGAAGATTTACATAACGTGCGCAAACTGCATGATAGGCGAGCCACAAAAATTACAATATCCATTCATTTAATTTGCATATTAACGAGAATAATAAATGCATTTTTATCTGTATAATTGTATACTGTATACTGTATAATTTAGTGCAAGCCTACAATGCTTCATTAAAATGAAAGTTAGAACGGCTACTACCATAGTGGATGTGCGCGCAAGATGTAAATCATCAAAATCTGCAAAACTGTAAGAGGCAATTTTAAAATGTTATGTACTAATAGATTTGGAATAAAATGCTCGTCATTTTTTGTCATTATGAAAATTTCAATAAAATGAAAAATTAAGTTAATAAATTTTTTTTTGTTATAAACAAACTGTATTTTGTTAAATTTTTTAACACCATGTTATTGTACGTCAGAAACCATTAACCTCGCCCATTAACAATTTTTTCGTATGACTTACCGTTTTCCGTTTCGAGCCAAAACTTCAAGGGGTGGTTTCACCCCTTAAACTTGAGTTACCGCAGCTAAAAAAAAAATACGTGTCGATTATTTTTGGCTGCTTTATAAGTGTAGAAAGTTTCATCAAAATCGAGGCCGGACCGTTCGCGAACGTTCCTTGTCAGTCGCATAGTGTGGGAACCTCGGGAAGGGAAATTTGCTCGTGAGCAAGAAGTTAAGCGGCTCTTAGTCTAGCAGGATAAGATGGTCAAAAGTGCCCTTGAACGAATTAGGTCGTGCGACATACCATTCGAAAGCTCATTGATAGAAAACATTGAATACCAACTCAACCCTCTAGTTCAACTTAGGGGGTAGTTACAGGGTGGTTTATGTTCATAATTCTGTGGATTGTTTTCCCTATTTAGCGGTATACAAAAATTTTGAAAAAAATCTTGCATATTGCGTATATGAAGGCACAAGTTAGGGAATTTTTTCTGATATTTTCATTACAAATCCTAGCTGTAAAAAATAAAAAACATATGTCATGAAACAGAACACATTATAATGACCTAAAACATCATGAATTCTTACAATTTTTACGACCATGTATTCCTAATGATTCCATCTCAAATAGAGTTGAAGAAAATTACAAATGTAACAATTTTTATTATAATGTTAAAAATAAAAAATCCAATTTATCTGTGTCTTATGGTATTGTCCGTAATTTGTACATGTAAATTTACATGAAAATGGATTAACATTGTGCAACAGAAATATATTAATTTTTAACATGTTGGTAAACTGATGAATTTTCTTAAAAGCTGTTTTCATAGTTGAATTGCTTGTTTAATGACAAGCGATTTGTATATTTTAACCATTTTTCTAAACTTAATATGTGTATGTAATTCCGTAATATTGTATCAAATATGTTCTGTATCCCCAACTTTAAGGGCTGTTTTCACCCTTCAACATGGATTTGAACATGTAAAAAAAAAAATGCGTGTCAAATATTTTTTGAAAACTATATCATATGTAAGTTTCACCAAAATCGGCGATTTATACGTAGGGACTCCCCTTGTAATATAAAATTGTATAAATGAAAATATAAAAATGTACTACACATAAATTAATAGTTAAGGAAATTATCAAAATTAACTGACATTATTTTAGTATTTTAATTTTAGTAGTATTTTAATTTTCAATCTATCCTTGAAGTTTTATTTAATCAATGCATGATGCAACTTTGTGCCAATGATGCAAGAGGTGAAAATATAATGATATTATTTAATGAGGATATCTTATATAATATTTTAAAACTATATAATACATAAATGAATATGAAATACCTTGATTCTATTAGATAATCTCAAGAAAACAGATTCCTTTTGTGGTGTGGTATTTGTTGTTGACTGTGTCACGGAAGCGCTTGCAACAGGTCCATTTTGAATATGCGCTGCTTCTCCTTCTAAATCTTTCAAGTCCGAGAGTAAGTTGTCGAATGCTAGAGAATCTTGAGAAGGCAATTTAATTTCGTGATCTAGAAGATCTGCTTGTCCTTGTTCACCTTTCTGATCTAGGCGTTCTACTTTCTCCACTTTATTTAACATACCAGAAAGTTCTTCAGATTCTATATCTGATACCATATCGACGCTTGGAATTTCAGTACTGTCAACAGTACTGTCAACGGTCATTTGAGGTGTGTTTTCATTGGATGAACTAGGAATAAATGGCTCCTCGGAGGCCTTTAAAACTGGTTGTTGTTCAATATTTAATGACGCAGGAATGGTCGTTGATATTTCAGGCTGAAATGATTCCTCAATACCACTTTTGCTAGATTCTAAGATAGGAATCGAGGAGTCATTTTTCATTTCTTCTTTTTCAAAAGGTTTTGTGAGCTTGATCTGTGAAGCTGCAGTTTCAGAACTTGAGGAAATTTCATCAAATGTACTGGTAAATCTGTTAATTTCTTCGCTAGATAATTCTTGAGTACTTTTCTTCAAATCTTTAAAAGATGTACCAATATCTGAGTTCGAAGAACATGTACCTGTCGTATGTTGAAATGATATAATGACATCATTGCTATAATCTTCTTTATCTTTACGTAATGTATCTTCTTTAATGGTATCTTTAAAGTTGTTAAACGGTATTTCGTGACTAGTATTCATTACCATTTTACGTTCTTTTATCGCTAGTACATTACAGAGTGCCGCGATGTATTCAGAGTTGAGTATAGATGTTATGAATTTCAAATGAAAGTTCTTTGTTGAATCAAATTCTTCTTCAACCTGATCATATTTTTCTACATTTTTTATTTTTTCGCCTTTTCTTTCTGTTTCCCTTTTTGCAGAAGTTTCAAATCCTACACCATAAATCTCACACAGTCCATTTTGTCTTAAAGTTCTATTCACAAGATCTATTTCAAGTAATTCATTTAGTTGTTGTTCCCTACAGCTAACTAATTGAAAGATTTTTGCAAATTTCTGATCTGAACAGTTATCACAAAGAATGGTATATCTTGGTGTAGTGCAAGTCATAAAAGAATTTTCCAAGATATTACCATCATCCATACTTTGTTGGATTTTCGTAATGTTGTTACTAGTCAAATCACTGGATTTTACTAATACCTCAGCTGCTTTCTTCATAATACTCAACACAGCATCCCTAGCACTACCAAACAAATTTCTTGGTGGTTCACCGTCTTCTACATCCAACACTTCCTCTTCATCGCCATCTTCTTCATCATCTAAATTTGTTTGAGTCTCTCTTAAAATTTGATTCTCTGTCTCTGTCTCAAGAACCTCAAATTCACTGGTGCCATAAGCACGAAATAAAGAAATAGGGCAAAAATGTTCCGATCCATAATAGGTCTGAAGTTCTATTTTTATAAATTTTCCAAAAAGATGTGGTTGCAAAGCAAAATTTTGAATATCCTTTATATCTTTCGCAGTGAACTGACCAACTGGACTCCAGTCTCTCGTAGGAAAACGATCACTGATATAAACTGAGAAATCCTTTGGTGACGAACTGAAAAGCTCGAAATTGGCTAATTCAATTTTTTTGGCTTGGATAGCCTCGCAAAGTTCTACCACGAACCATATACGGGACGTACATGTATTAAGCATATATTCATCTCTAGTAGATACTAAGACGCTTCTAGCACTGTGTGCTTCAGGATTCGCTGCTACAATTTTCGCTCCACAATCTGGAGAAGCATAGTTCTTGGAACGAACCTTAATTCCACCAATTCCCCGTGTTGGTGCCCCAGAATTCTGAACGGATACATTTGGATGTGCTATAAAAAAAAAATAATTATTGTTTTAACAAACTAATTTACAGTTAAAAGGAGCTTATAATGCAAGAATGTTGTGAAAATGTTGCGAAAATAAATACGTAGATTTTAGTTAATATAATTCAAGAAAAATTAAACAATGATCGTCTATTAAAGGTAATATAAATTTCCTTTGTATCAATTACAAAAATAGCATAAAAGGAAAGCTTTTTATAAATAGCAAGATTCAGCCTATTATACTCTGATTTATATTTACGAAAGCTCAGTCGTATTAGTCCCCTCACACTCCCTAATTATGTCAAGCGAAAATTCGGCCTTATTTTTACATTTTTTTAATTTTAAAACACAATTGTAGGAAAAAAAAATTAAACTTTTAAAGATGTATATGCCAAAATTCAATAACAGAAACATGTTATTAAAGTAAATATTTTCAATTACTTAATTTCATTGAAAGAAATAATAATAAACATTTCACATGGATTGATATCAGGCATGCAAATGAAAATATGCAATACTGTTTTAAAAAACTCGAAACTTTCAAAGGTCGCATCTTACAAAAAATTCTTTGTTTATAATCCTTATTTATTTAAAATATAATATCTATTCTACTAGTGAGATTTCAAATAGGTACTCAATATCAATATTGCACGATAAATAAAAAACATTTTTCGAATTAAATCTAATAAACTATTTTCTTTTGTAATTATTGTGTTTGTAAAGAAGCACTCACTTTTTTTCTTTTCAGCTTCTTCTAACCTCTTTTGCGTCCACTCACTAAAAGATGGAATATCCTCCTGTGAATTTGAGGACCCTACAGAAACAATTCCTTCACCAAGGACAACTGTAGCAGCAGCATCATCCCTATTATCTCCCACTAATCGAGCTTTAGCTTTAGTATCGCTCAATTCTGAGGTTGCTGCAAATGTTTCATCAACTGTAGGTATCTCATCAGGAAGTATTTTAACAACATCGTCTTCAAGCTTGTCTTCTGATCCCTCACTAGTTATAACTGTTTGTTCAGCCCTTACTACTACCACCACATCCTCTCCAACTGAATCTGCCAATAGTATAGATTCCTCTTCAAAATTATTTGTTTCATTAAGTTTTTCTGTAATTTCGTTAATAAATTGTGGCGGTGAAGAAGTTTGTGTACTAGGTAAAATTTCTTGTTGTTCCTTTTCCGTTTGTCCGATATTTGTATTCTTTGTTAATAAAGATGAATTTTTTGCATATAATCTGGTCCTTGAAAACTCATGATTAAACTTTGGTTCTGCTAAACTTTGTAATTCTGCTACAGTTGTATCCACCAAAGTCACAATTGTTGATTGTTCATTTTCAGAAATTCTATAAATGAGAAAAAATTACTAAATAAGAAAATAGTATTGTTTCATAATAAGAAATACTTACAAGGAACGTACACATCCTAGAGCAAACAAATTTGATTCATATTGTTCTCAATAATAGTATTCCCTTAGGGATATTGTTGTGACAAAATAGTAGGACACAACTTTCAAATATTTTTCAGAAATTTTTGTATCATCAAATT